GACTGGGCGAGTATAAATAACTCGAAGACCAAACTCGTGATTGATCGGTAAAAATCCGACTGGGCGAGTATAAATAACTCGAAGACCAAACTCGTGATTGTCGGCAAAAGTCCGACTGGGCGAGTATAAATAACTCGAAGACCAAACTCGTGATTGATCGGTAAAAATCCGACTGGGCGAGTATAAATAACTCGAAGACTCAAACTCGTGATTGTTGGCAAAAGTCCGACTGGGCGAGTATAAATAAATCGAAGACTGAAACTCGTAATTGTTGGCAAAAGTCCGACTGGGCGAGTATAAATAACTCGAAGACCAAACTCGTGATTGATCGGTAAAAGTCCGACTGGGTGAGTATAAATAACTCGAAGACAAACTCGTGATTGTCGGCAAAAGTCCGACTGGGCGAGTATAAATAACTGAAGACAAAGTTATGATTCAAACTCATTTAATACACGATATTCACCATCGTAAAATCGGAATTCTGGCGATTGCAAACAACAGAAATCGGGATTCGGGCAATTCATTCATAAATTTGCGGCTCAATGTTAACTTGGAAAAATCTTGTTCGTCTTTCTAGCCAGAATTTTTGGTGATCCAAGACAGGCACATCGGCTTAAGGACGACTTTCCTACTTGAATTTTAATTCATAATTTAGTTCGGGATTTAATTCTTCAAGTCTACTTCCTAATCGGCATTGGGCCGATCATGTGGTTAAGCTTCCTTTTAAACCTTGGATTTTCTTATTTTTTCGAATCGGCAGTTGGACGATCATGTGGTTAAATCCTAAACGGAAATATTTTCTTCTCATTTTTTAGTCGGCATTTGGGCGATCACTCGCTGCAAACGTATCCTAAAATTATTTCTCTCTTTTTCTTACTCCGCATGGAAGCAATCACTTGATTCGAAAGTATCTTTGAACTTTGAATTTGCAGCCGGTACTGGGCCGATCTCTTGGTCAAATGGCATCTAAACCCAGAAAGTTTCTAATTATTTCCAGTCGGTTTATCACCGATCATTTGGCTAATTATCGACTATTTTCCAGGTTATTCCGAATCGGCATGGCTACGTAAGTCAAATCAGCGTCTCACCGGTCCCCTAGTCACTCGGCCAATATCAGATTTGTTTTTCCTCGATATGAACCAGGTCGACCATGGGCCGACCCAAGCCGCTCCATGATCGTCAAAATAAAAATACTTAGAGTCTATACTTGTTGTACCTATCAGCGTTTGACCAATTTGAACGATTATGTTCAGAAAATATCACTTTTCACTTGGAGAAAATTTTAACTTGCTATACCAATCGGAATTTGAACGATTAGGTTCAGAAAGAATCACGTTTCACTTGGACAATATCTTTAGTTATCCAACCAATATTTCTAGTTATTTACTTAGAAAATGTCCCACATTTTATGATCGGCATTTGGGCGATCCGGTCATCAATTTTTATTTTAAACTTAGCAAAATTTTGCCACATTTTATGATCGGCATTTGGGCGATCCATTCATCAATTTTAATTTCTAACTTAGCAAAATTTTGCCACATTTATAATCGGCATTTGGGCGATCCATTCATCAATTTTAATTTCTAACTTAGCAAAATTTTGCCACATTTTATGATCGGCTTTTGGACGATCCATTCATCAATTTTAATTTCTAATTTAGCAAAATTTTGCCACGTTTTATGATCGGCATTTGGGCGATCCATTCATCAATTTTAATTTCTAACTTAGCAAAATTTTGCCACATTTTATGATCGGCTTTTGGACGATCCATTCATCAATTTTAATTTCTAACGTAGCAAAATTTCGCCACATTTTATGATCGGCATTTGGGCGATCCATTCATCAATTATAATTTTTAACTTAGCAAAATTTTGCCGCATTTTATGATCAGCATTTGGATGATCCATTCATCAATCTTAATTTTTAACTTAGCAAAATTTTGCCGCATTTTGTGATCGGTGTTTAAGCGATCCATTCGTCAATTTTGATTTTTAGCCAAACAAGTGCTTAAGCTCTAAACACGGAGTATATATTCTAACTCTACTTACACACAAGGTCAAAAGAAAAGTATTTTATATCAAAACATAGTTGTTCAGTTTACAAGGATAATGCAAAAGGCCAAAAACACAAAAACAAACACAAGTATGTAAGAGTACAAAATCAATCATCTTCCGGTGGGTCCACGAGCTCGCCATCCACGACTTCTTTGAAGTAGCCGAGACTTCCAAGGTCGAGATCAGCATAGAGGAACTTCACTTGACCCGTGGCAGCATCAAAGCCCTGCATAAACTTTTGCAGCGAATCCACTTTAACAGCTTGGAGATCAACCTGCAACTTCTCGACCTCCGCCTTCGCCAAGGCCAAGTCATTCTCAAAGACCTGAGCCACATCGGCGCTCTTGTCTCGAGCAAGTCGAGCCTCCTCCAGAGCTTTCTCAAGGGTTGCCTTCTCGGAAGCCCAAGCCTTCTTCTCTTCATCAAAGCCACGCCGACTTTCAAGTAAGTTGTCTCGCTCATTTGACACCCATTTAAAATCGGCTTTGCTTTTAACCAACCTCTCCTCAAGGGACAAGATCTTTTTCCCCTGTAACTTAGTCTCGCGCACCAACCTACGGATCTTATCCTCGTTAACAAGTGAGAGGGCGGACATACGATTCGTCAAGAACTCGATCCCCTTGGCAATCGAGAAAGCGCTCATTTTTTCTAAGTCCCCACGATCTCCCTCCAGCAGGTCAGTCCCACGAATATGGGCGCTGTGATTGAACTTTTCATCCCAGAAGGAAGCCACGTCGCCACGATCGGCGTCGTGACTCACCGGATCCCAATTCTCACCGAGGCAAACACTGATAGTCCTCTCAGCTGATTGAACCTCCTCGTCGCCTTTATCCCCTTCAGACGCCATAGTATCCAAATTAACCACCGAGATTGGCCTATCGGCTTCACGGCGACGCTTGTGCGAAGTTTCACCCACCCTTTTCGCCAAAGTCACAGGATTCGTGGCCACGCCAACCCTCTCGGTGACCGACTCGTTTACACCGGTGACTTGGGAAGCTTTTTGCTGCTTCCATAACTTCATCATTTCCCGAGTACCCAAGCTGGCCATTCTTTCTGCAAAAAAAGCACCCAACAATTAATAAAAAGACAAAGACAAGAGTAAAATACACAATTTCAACATTCAAACAAGCATTTTGTAAATCCAACCGTTAGATTGAAAGTTCATATCACTTTATATGTGTATATCAAATTTTGTTAAAATTGAACAACAACTTGAGGGTAATCAAAGTGTTCATATTTTAGTATATTTTAAAATAAATATATTACGTCAATTTTGTTTTATAAAAATGAACTATCAAATCATCTTGGATTAATATAAAATTTTGTATATATGATCTAAGAG